TATCACTGTAATAAGTTCATGATTCGCAGTATTGGTCGTGGTCGTGGTATTCGTCGCAGTTATAATATAATAGACTCGGACAAAGTCAGTATAAACTGGCCGGTACGAATCGCGTATCGGACTTTAAAAAAATGTCGCGTATCGAACGATACAGCAGACCATACAACTTGAACCCCAATCTTTTACTTTGAAAAGTGAGTAAGTACCAATCATTGGTGTCTCTATTTTTCCATAGATAAATACTTGATCAGGTACACCCACAAAACTGGACTAATTCTCTCTCTCTCTTTCATTTTTAAATTTTTGTATAACAAACTTGTTATCATATTGGCACTTTTTCTTTTTAAAATTCTTAACATATACATATAAGATCAGCAGTGACAAAATCTTATGCAATTAAACATAGATCTGTATATGCCATTCTAAAAATACAGTTGCTTTCTATCAGCTTTAACCTTTAAAAAAGAAAATTACCTTTTAGCCAAGTAGTATAAATAATAATAATAATAATAATTCTTAGAAAGAATGCAAGGGAAAATATAATTTTATGGAGCTAATATCATATTTGTTTATGTAAATAAACCCTTGCGCACAAATAAATGGTTCACAGAGTGTCCAAGTTTAAAATGGACCATTGATTGCAACATGACTCAACCCCAGGTGGTCCATGAAATTTGGGACGAAGGTATGCTTTTGTGTACCTTTCCCACTTTTATTTTGATACTGACCAAAACCCAATCCACCATCAAGATTCCACGAATTACATAACAAAAAGTCATGAAATATAACAAAAAGTCATGAAATAAAAATTAGAAATATATATATATATATATATATATCTCCAATTCGAGAAAGTGAAGTTTGTTGAAATAAAACCTTCCTAATTTTATTTAATTTTTTCATTGCATTTATAAAGAAATGATAGAGAATTCAAGTATTGTCACAAAAGTGATTTCGATTATCAAAAAAAATAAAAAATCAAAAAATGTGAAACATGCTTTGAAGGCAACCTAAGCAGCAAGAGTAATTAACATAAACATGTGCTAATTATAATAATATCCTCACCCTTTTTTTTTTAGTGATTAGCAATTTTTTGAAAGGAAAAAAAAAAAATTATTTAGAAGTGCTAAAATTTCACTTATTTATAATATGGTACATGACATAAAATTATATGCAAGGTAACTCTTGACCAATATTGATTGAACATTAGCTATGGTACAATATTTGTCTTTGTAAGTTAAATTTTGGGCCTACAAGTTGTTTTGGTTATCTTTTTTTGTAAAAATAATTGTTTTGTCAATGCAATAAAGAAGTAGCACAAATGGATAGTCATTGCAGTAGGAGATCTAATTATAGTTTTATTATGTTTGTTATGTTATTTGAGGTTGAGAAAACTCGGGATAAAGAGTGATTAGTGATTATAATTAAATTACTTTTTTTTTTGGCTCCAATAAGATTTTAATCATTAAATGTTTTACCTTTTGTCTAAATCCAATGGATAGAAATCGAAGGTATCGTAGTTAAGGACGGATCTAAAAAAGTATGTGAGAAGGGGCGATCTTTAACATAAAATGTTGAGGAGGGTAATACAAATAAAAAAACCATTTTTGCTTATAAAAATTATTTACTTTCAGTTGGTCAGAGACTCAGAATTCTGAGTATTTCTTTAAAATTCAACCAATATTTTATTGTGCAAATAATTGGACTCCAACAAATACTCTGGTAGAGATATCAGGGGAAATTTTCATGACTTTAAATCAATAAAATATAAATAATCTGCTGCCAAGCTCTCTTATAAACATGACAATGCATTATCCACTATTCATTAGGTGTTTTTCATGACTTTTAATCTTTAATATTATTTTGCACCAATAATTGCTTTCAAACTCAAATGATTGAAATTATTTTATAAATGTTTTCTTCTATGTTCAAAGTAAGGATAGATGGTGGATAGCTTGGTTTAAGGTTAAAGAAGCATGGTTCATCGTATTAGTCGGTTCGTAATCATTTTTTAAGGGTCCGATACTGTTACATACATTCATAAACTGAGCAGTTCAATTGATTTTTTCTGAGTCCGGTACACTGCGATCGCGCTAAAAACATCTACCGAAAGTTAGAGAGGTTTTGGTGGCAAATATGGACTTTCAGATAGGTAATGGGAGACCAAACAAACTTTTTTTAGACCCTTGGTGGTGGAAGGAGCAAATTTTAATTCAGGCATTTGGTCATAGAGTGGTGAGGAAATTTTGGGTCACAAAAATGGCTTTTTTTAGTGATCGATCTGATTCTGAATGAATGTTGGACTAGACCTGCTTGGCTTGATCAAGAGGAAACATGGCGGTGTGAGTTTTAAGGCCTTTTTGGAAGGACTGTAGGAGAAGTCAGAAAGTGAAATTGGCGTAGCAGAAGGTAAGGGTTACTATGATATGAATTACTATGCTGTACATAGATTTATAAATAAGAAACTCACAGCATAAAGAAACTGCTCAAAAATATAAAAAAAATTCTCCAAAAATTCTGTAAAAAATAAGGTAAGAAACCTAATTGCTGAAAACTCAAAATTGGAAAAACATAATTCTCGAGCCCTATACTTTGAATTTGAACGAAAAGCATCCTACCTCAGTAGTTATGAATTTTGTCAGTTCTGGTTAGATTAGGGTCTTTTAGGATCAAAACGGATTCGTCAAAATTATATCAAAAAAACTGTGTCAATCCACCCATTTAATATTTTAACGATCCGGGCTCCAAAATCATCAGTAATATGTTCTACATCTGGGACGGATAGAGTATTTTCAAACAATTTATTATTATCATATTCAAACAGACTTATTAATTCAAATCTTTATCATTGCATTTATGGATCCAATGAAAGTAAGTGGATGCCGCAGAGAGTGTGACATATATAACATCTTTAAAATTCAATATTCAAATGATCACGTATATTCAAATGGGATGCGTGCCTCTCAAATGGTGTTTGTACCTGTTATGAATCTTACGTTGATACTTAAATTTTGGTGGTTGCTTATGTCAATATATATATGAAGTGAGAACGCTAGCAACTTTATTATGTGCTTGAGTATTGCTTTTACTATGTAGCTCATCAATTCAAATCTTAATTTGTAGTGGTTGCTTAAAATTGTTTTTGCCTCTTTTGTCATTATGGTGATAGATAAAGAAAAAGGAAAAACAAATTTAGAATAAAATAAATTTAAAACTCTAAAAGAAAGATGATTGAGAAAATGAGAAAATGACATAAAAATTAAACATTTTTTCATTTTTTTTTAAACATTTTTTTTGGAGAATAACCCGTTAAGTAGTAAGTTTATCTATAAAATTGATTCAAAAAATCACAGAAATCAGTTATAGCAATGGTAGGTAATGGTAGAAGGTACAATTCACACGAAAATAAAAATCTCGTACAACATAACTAATTTCCCTCAATTATTCTTATTTTTGTAAAAATATTAACTATTACAAGTTAAATATACACCCCACCCGTTCTGCCTCACCCAGAACTTGTCAATATTGAAACTTGGTGTTTAGGTATAGCACACCCACCTATATTTATATAGTCTTGATGTCTAATCTCTCTTTCTATATTTAACTTTTTTGTGTTCTAAAATATTTCCTCACCCTACGTATATCTAAAATCACTTCAATATCTTAAAATCTTACAACACTCTCCAACACTCCACAATCTTCTAAAAAATTTTAGAAATTCACTGTAGTCTTCTATTGTTCAATTTCAAGTCTTTAGCTATCAAACATGTGAGAGATGTGTGAGTCTCTTGTTCGACCATCTCTTCTATTGTCTCTCAGGTGTGAATCATGTCTTAACGATGATTATTTTCTTACTTTTTCGAATTAATTTGTGATATTCTAATCACAAAATACAAAGCAAACATCAACAACGTTAAAAAAAAAAAAATTCACAAGATATTAATATATTTTTTTATCAGTGTTCAACAACAACTAATAGATTCTTTAATAACTTCTGTTATATATTCGAGTTTGTAAATCATTTAAGAATTTAAAGTGGCTAGTGAATTTGAAAAAAAAAAAAAAAAAATGGGTCCATCTTCCTTGTTTTTCAGACTGTATAATGCTTGGTCTAGCTAAATTTGATTAATTCTTCATCTTTAGTCATCGTACTATCTTTTTATTGCATGCACATTCTTTTACAACATTTCTAAATATATTTAAGCTCATTTGTGGAGCTTTAATTCACTTTTTATGCCTGGCATGTGGTAATATTTCTTTCTAGAATCTACGTCCTTGTTTTTCTAGATTCTTTCTAGAATCTAGGTCGGTGAATCTGTTACACGTATGGAAATAATAGTATTTCTTTTTAGAATTTACTTCCTTATTTTTCTAGATTCTCTGGTCGGTGAATCTGTTACACGTATAGAAATAGTTGTGAGATGTAACTTTATAATTGATAAATTTTGGTGTTAAAATTAATCCGATTAAATTGTAATTTTAAAATTTATTCTTTGTCTCAATACCGAAGCGGTATCAAATAATTGGACAAAGTGCAAGCATAGGATTGAAGAGCACATCATAATAGTCAAGGTATATGACGATGAAACTTTGTACTTCATTTTTTGTTAAAAAAAAACTTTAAAAAAATTGAGTTATCTATTATGTCTGCGAAAAATGGCAAGGTGGCATGTGATGCATTATTTCATGAAATTTGTTTCGGTCAAAAATGGACGGGTCCATTTATTCCTCCTCTTTTTTATTAGATTTTAAGGAGATGTTTTTGCACTAAGAAAGCAAACCCTGATAATATATTTGAGTAATTAACTAATCACAATGTTGAAAGCCAGAGAACTACGAATTACTATCATAAAATTGGACCCTTTTAGTACCCTGGCATTACCTAGTCCTCCATTAACAGAAAAGACTACAGTCCCACTGTTTGTATTCGTTTCTGGCATCAATTAAATTAAATCAAAGGGCAAATTTGTAATATGATGCCAACATAGTGATCCATATGATTCCAACAAAGCAATCATAGAAAATGTCATCAATAGTACAAAGACTTCTCAATTTTAACAGAATGTGTTGCTTGAAGCACCGGTGGGGCAACAAATAGGGTAATGAATCCATTAGTTGGATACAATAAGAAAAATAAAGGATGGTGCTTCAAAAGTAGGGCTCGTGCTGGAGGAAAAAACCGACATGAAGCACCCATTCTTTTTAACTGCAACGAATACCTAAAACCTTAGGTTTCAATAGATTATGAGGTTGTCATTCAAAACGGCATGTAACAAAGGAGTAAAACGTAGAAGGGTAGATATAAAGCTCCTATTTTCCTCCTGTGATAGATTGCAAGCAGGGAGGGACATAGAAAAACAAATTTGAAGACTACTGCTGAAATCGAGGGTAGGTAGAGGAAAACGAATTCGAACATAAAATCATCTAAATATGATTTTAATTCAACTTGACAGAATTTGAGTTCCGAGGCACAGGACTTCTCTGGCCAAGCACCTGCTTTGTCCTTTCAAGAACACCAAAGAAAATTGAACCTCCAATACCTATCCACAGGACTCTCGGCCCCATTCCCTGCAGTACAATAGCCAAAAACAATTAAATTAGAATGCTAATTTTCTAGAGGTCCCGAATCTATTTTCCAATTTGATTTTTCTTGATTAACTGTTACAAATTCTCTCAATTTTTAGTTTCAAGTTGATGGCCATATTGGGCCACAACTTGTTACTTCGCAGTGTGTAACCTTAAGAAGCTATATTGTTCCGATTCCAATTCCGATTCCGACAAGCACCAAGCACCAAGCACCATCTTCATGCAAAACCGGAAAAAAAAAAAAAAATGCAGAATCACAGGAATCTGTTTGCAAGTTACAGATTGATAGTACGAGTATGCTACCTGCATTACACTACATGTATCAATATTTAGGAGGTAGAAAAAATAAGGGGCGTGTAGCTTGCTATCATGTCAAAATTTAAAGACTATCTTTCCAGAAAATTTGTTCAATTTCTTGTAATCTAACCAAATTACTAAAACTGCGAGGCAAAGCAAGAACATGGTAACATCAACATGATTTTGAAGAACTGATACAAGTCACATAACCATGTAAGTCAATTCCTATTCAAATATGACCGTCATTGTCCGTAAGTTAGAAATGCTATCTATCTTAACAAAATCAGGACATTTTTCTTAATAGTTTCCCATGCTATCATGTAAATTGAAAAGAGCAACGAGAGAAAAGAACACAAAGAATGATTACTGTACTTTGAATTGCATCTTATGGGATAAAAGGCGTAGCGTGGAAGAGCATACCTTTAGAAGAGCAGGAGTCCCTTCTTCTCTAATGATAGTCCTAACACAATCAAATATACCTTTGTACTGGTTTGCTGACCCCTGCAAAGGTTGAAAAGATGAAATGAAGAAGGAATTTGCATTACTCCCCCTTCTATGAAAAAGATTAAGACAGAAAGAAAAGTAAGAAAAAAGATCCATTATCTGTACCTGAACCATTAATCTAGTTTTTATGACATCAAGAGGAGTTGTTATAGCTCCAGTGATTGCACCTGAAAATATACAAGATTTGATTTTAAGAGATCCTCAACAAGTAGGGCACTAAATTGAAGCACGTTTTACATTAGTAAGAGTCAGTAACATACATGGTTGTCAAAGTTACGATTTGAATCAGAGGATCATACGATCCTACCTGTTTGATTTTTATTTATTTTTCCTCTCTTCTTAAAATTTGTTGGGCCTTCAGCTTATTGTTATATGGTTTTATGGACTTGTTCGGCTATTTTAGGTATAAGGCCCACCATTTTAAGCTCACTTGCTACTTTAAAAAAAATAAAAAATAAAAAAACAGAAACTTGAGTGCTCTTTCGGTTCTTCCCTTTGTTCGGTTTTTCCCCTAACTAATCTATGTTTAAGCCCTACAGTAGAATCAATATCAGTTTTTGTTCTTTTTATGAATAAAAAAACAGAACTTCAAATGCATCAATTTTTGTTCTTTTACTCAATAAGAAACAGAGTTCTGTGTCTTTGTAATTTGAAATTTTCAATTATTGTATGTTAATTGCTTTGCTGGGCTGTTATTACAATGATGTTGAAGTGTTTGAATACAAATGTTGGTGTGAAAGCTCTACCTCTTGAGCTACTTCTCTTATATATGTGTATGAACTCATCCCTAGATGGTGGTACTTCTATATGTTTTTTTCCCCTTTTTTTTTTTTTTTTTTTTTTTCTGTCTTTGTAATTTGAAATTTTGAATTATTGTATGTTAATTGCTTTGCTGGGCTGTTATTATAATGATGTTGAAGTGTTTGAATACAAATGTTGGTGTGATAGCTCTACCTCTTGAGCTACTTCTCTTATATATGTGTATGAACTCATCCCTAGATAGTGGTACTTCAATATGTTTTTTTCCTTTTTTTTTTTTTTTTTTTGCTTATTATCTATTTATTTTAGAGATAATCTTATTTATTAAGTTAGTTTCTGTTGTTATTCTACTAGTCTTATAGGATCTTACAATCCTCGATCCGATCCTACGATCCCAATCCCACTGACCCCCCTATCAACATAAGATCCTGATCTTGACAACCTTGGTAACATATATTCCGTAAGTATGAAATAAAAAAATATCATTGGTTACATTAAATACAACAGAATTAGGAAAGAAGGAGTGTTACTACTGTTGATTGGGGCGAGAAATAATTGTAATTTAATATAGGTTGAAGACCATTATTAGGAACAACGCAATCTTATATATGTTCCCCATCTGAGAATTGAAGTATTGTTTTGTCGCTACTCTCATGACCAAAACATGAGCAGGTGTTTTCCAACCCATCCCCAGCATGACACTAGCAATAACAATGACTACAGTAACATTCAGCACTAAATTCTCAAGGGAAAAAAATAATTCTGAAACATATACAGACTATATCCCACGGTAAATTCTGAAAGGAGTGAAGAATTGTAATTGAAACAATCCCCATTCCCCCGAAATATTAAAAATTGAAAGTCTTTTAGGATGTATAATTACCTGCAAAAGCACCAATCATAGCAGTCTCAGAATCATTGAGATCCCTTCGTGCCTGCAGAGAGAAAAATGCAATTATTTCTTCATAATTCCTTGCATATAATATCTAACAAAGTACAACAGATGTAAGGACTTTCTTTTATTTTATCCTGACATGAGTATTCCTTATTTGGTCATCCATCAAGCGATAAAATTAAGGCCTTTCCACTCGCTGGCCTTGCAATTCCTATGCCAATTTTATGATTTCCAGTTGTGACATTGGCCAAAACACTTGAATACAGAGGCCGATGACTTAGCACAAATGAAATCGTGAACTTCTACACTGACCTAGTAACAAAGTTACCAGCAATCATGCATAGTGGCTCAAATGCAGTGTAAGACCATTACATAGTGTTGGTCCCACCATCACAGGTTGTTGATGGGGTGGACCGAAAATAGAATTAACCCTTGCATGTAAAATTCACAAAGTAGTTGCTAACAAATCTAACTTAGCAGCACAAGCTTTTACCATTACACCAAGCACTTGTCCCTTGCCTAGTGACCCCTTGCAGTCTATAAAAATAAAGAATAAAAGAAGTCACAGAAATTTCTTCCAAGCATCACTCAGTGGCCTCTTGGCTAAAGAACTTCACGCCTTCAAGGCAATGATCTTTCTCCTTTGTATGATGGTTGGGCTTTGGTATCATACATAGACTAATTTGGATTATTGTAGTGGGTCCTTCAAACTCTCTCTTATAGCAGTTGTAACCCTGTAATTTGCCCCTTCTCCCAAGGAAGGAAATCGATCAAGTGTGCTTTTTGCATGTATAAAAATCAAATATAGGCAAAAGTAAGCTCACCGCTAGCTTATACCCCATCCGGAGTTGTTCATATAAGCAAAACTGGATAGCATCAAAAGGCAAATCTCGCAGTAAAAAGGAGCCATATCCCTACAAAATCAAAAGAGAAAGGAGCCATGCCATGAATACTGACTTCCAGAAAGCTCATCAAGAAAGTAATAAATTAATAATACTTCTCCTCCAGAAAGCAACACCAAAGCTAATTTCCAAAACAAGAAATCTTTGCACTCCTCTGGGAGGACACAAGACTATATTACGGTACCTGGAAGTTGAAACTTGAAAACTCAGTAAAGGTAAACATCACATACCGCATAAAGGCCTTTGAAACCCTCCTTGGCAACAATGAGGCGGACAGCATGTGGGGCCGAAGAAAATTCTGCAGTCTGCATCCTTTGCTTAACAACCTGAGAAGTGTTGAAAACAAAAAAAGTGAGTCCTGAGAAGCAACGTCAGAAGGTGGGGTGGTGGCGGGGGGGCCACAAAGAAGTAAACTACCTCCGTTGGTACACGAACAATAGAAGAAGCAGCCCCTCCAACAGCACCTGCAGTCTAAATGAAGGTAAGAAAGCTTTAAAAAATAACAAATAAAGCCTCTAGCAAACTACATTGGAAGTTTTGAGAGAAAAGAGGACTCGTAATAAGATAGAAAAGTTCATAGTCAATTTGTCACCCTGGAGAGAAAATTGAAGCAACTATAAAATCAAGTCAGTAAATAACAGAAGAACTCACGAAGAACAGTTAATATGGTTTCCTTAATTTTTCGAGGCTGCTGAAAGCATTTACCTTATCTAGATTTAAGGCTTCTAAGCTGAGCAAGTACTAAAGAAACAATGAAGGCGTGAACTTTTAAATCCGTTCCTGTTGTCATAATTTTCCAACTTACTTTCATCAAGTCGCATCCTATGAGTATCCCTAAGTAAAGGTGATAATGACATGATGAAAAAGGGAATCAAAAAATTCAAAAAAATAGCACAGTAAAAACGATTTATCAAATTCCGCAAGGGATTTAAAGTGGTATTAAGAAAATCCAAACCTGGATTGTAATAATGCAGTTCAAATTAAGAACTCGAGTACAAATGTACAATTAAAACGAATATTGTCACTTCATATCAGCTTGGTGAAGAAACTTACCAAATGAGCCAAGGCACTTAAGTTTTCAGGGAAGCTCTTCAGCAATTTCTGCTTTGTGGGTTCATATACACCAACAAATATGGCCGATGCACTGTGAATAATAAGAAAGTTCATCAACAACATGTCTTCTAATTAAACAAATTAGAGGATTTATATGAAGTAGAAATATAAAGAATTGTAAGGGGCTCAACGAAAGATAAAGAGAGGTGGATGCCTCTGAGGGAACCCAGTTTTTTTTTTTTGCCAGGTGACTACTAATCTATATAAGACCACCTTATTTGGTTTCATAATAAAATCAATCTGTGCAGCAAAATTATATAGCCTCGTGCACTTCCTTGTCCCTGAAGGACCTTCTCTGCCATGCGACTACTAGTTTATATAGACTACTGTCCTCTCTAAACTTCGAATTCAAATTTTTCAAAATTTTAATATTACCTTATGCCCATTTTTTTTACCCTTTTCTTTCAGAGGTTGTCACACAACATGCCTTGCTTGGGTACTGTGACTACCTTTCTGCATTGTCCTGTATCAGGCTGGTCTGATTTTATGTCTCACTGACTGCAATTATAGAAGCTGAACCTGCTATGTGCATCTTTTCTAATGTTGATACAATATCTGCTCTTTGTGCTGTTTCGTTAGTTGATGGCATATTTAAGATTACTTGATTTTAAACTGGGGAATATGCCTGCCTTAGCTTTTGTATATTCCTCTGAATTAAATTTTCATATACACACCAAAAAGAAAATGTCTAACAGGAAGCCCGATCACTTTTTCATGTTGTTAGGTTTGCTAGTAGGCGTATATTAACCACCAAGACAGTTGAGGGAAACGAAAGGATGTGATTGGTAAAAAAATGGTCCTGGATATTTAAGATATTGCCAAGAACAATATGGTCTTAATTGCATTCCCATATCTCATCCTGAAAGGCAGTGAGCACAAGGATTTTTAGTGTTTTAATCTATGTTACAAGTTGATTCAATTGGGAAGCCTCTATGCACAAGACCAAGACACTCTTCTGCATCCTTGCTAAATAGCTTCTAATATAAGGATGTTCTCTGTCAGCAGCTCTCCCTTCACATTCCATTGTTATGGGTCAAAAAAGAGAACCCAGATAATTAAAAGAAGTATTGGCATTCCCCGGAATTAATAAAGTTTCTGAGATAGTCAAACTCATCCATGGCAGTGTCAAACTCGTCCATTGCAGTGGGAATGTAAGACTTTGTTGAGTTCAGTTTATCTGGCATCGTAGAGTCTATTGAGCTTTGAACCCAAACTTAGGAATCATAATGAAATATACATGAAAAAGTAAATCACACATAAATAATTTATATAATGCACAACCTGCAATCATACTAATAGCTCATATATTAATTCCCGACATATGAAAAGAAATATCTGCGATGAAGAGAACTTACGGTAAGACCCCAGCAAGATTTCCAGCCAATCCAGAATAGAGACCCTTCAATATAATTTTCCCCCCACCACGAACTGCCTAACGTGGAATTAAGGACATTAATCACAATAATTCTATGAAACCAAAAGGAAATCATGAGTTCTTGAATTTAGAAGAAAACTTATTCTAGTAAATATCACACAAACACATCAATTATAAGAATCATTATGTGAGTAATATGAGAAGAATAGGATTAAAATGTATATAGAGTAACTTATTATAGACTTGATCCAACATCCCATCTCATTCTCTTGACTCCTCAATAGTCCTCATAGAAGCTAAGACCATTCAGGTGATAGCTCAATTCTTCATCTAGCCATATATGTCAAACTTAATATAATAGAGGAAGTCTTCTCTCGTTGGTGTTATGTACTTCATCCAAAATGTGAAAACATATTATGAAATGAACGACTGTGAAAAGTCTTTTACACACTCTGATTATCCAATTGATGATGAACAGCACCACAAACTATTATAATAAAGCCTCATACAATTGATTTTTTAGTGGCCTTTGGTTATGGAAAGACTTGCAGTCAAGGTTCTTATAAGAATCAAAAAGGCTGTAGGCATGAGGGATGGTTAGGGAGTTGAAATTACATATAAAAATAAAAAATAAAATAAAATAAAAAATTTGGTGGTGACGGTCTCGGAAGTGTTTGGTTGCTAGAAATTTAAGAAAAAGCATGCAACAATTTCTAGGCAGCAACATCTTTTAGGCTATCAAGTGTTAGGAGAAGGCTTATATCGTAGCAAATAATTTAGGTTACAAAGGTATGGCTTTAGGATAGAAATTCAAAGAAATTGGTGGTTGTTTTCGAACTGCAAACCGTAATTTGTGACCAGTGACTACGGTCTGATTGGCTTTTGGGTGGGTGAGTGATTGATTGGTAAGAGGGAAAGGTTGAGGCTTGTCAATTAGATTTTTTTGGTTGGAGAAGGTGCTGGTTACAGATTAACTCAGTGACTATATAAAGGAAAACAATGAGAAAGTAGTAGAACAAGCAGTATAAGAAGTTGGGTAACCATGCACATTAACTACAGGTTAAATCACATTTCACAATTCCCAAAAGTGTTTCAAATCCTTCTGAAAATTCCCTAAAATGCTTTACCATGTAGGCTGCTAAACTACGATTTCTGACTTGAAAATTAGAAATTAAAGACTTCGATCAATAAAACCGATCAGGCCCAACTAATGACTGTATAAAACAAGACCCAAAAACATGACCTCAAATATGACTGATGGACGTTTACTACAGCCCATGTCAGACAGATTTGAAATTGCCAAAATACCCCTGGCCCCTAAAATGTAAGAAAAAATAAATGAACATAAACCAAAAACAAATTAAACTAAAGAAAGCATAAGAAAAAAATCAACACGAGTTAAAACTTGACTCTAAAGTGGGCCTGCCCTTGAAATTGAACCTATATTCAGAAAGGCCCTGTTCTTTAAATTTGATCTTCCATGAACTTATTGTAGATTGCATCACTTTAGCAGCAATAATAATGATGTTCATAGAACTAGGAGAAAATATTAAATACCCCGGGGTCATCCAAGCCATTGGATGTGGTGGGGCCCACCACCGCATCCATGATCCAACGGCTCCCACTAGCCCGGGTACCATACCTCCGGGGTATTTAATACTTTCTCTAGAACTAGGACCAAACTCTGCAACAATATGATTCAGAATCTAGCTGCCACTACTATTTAGAATTTGATGAAAATGCAAATTAAATTTAACAGTCACAAGAAAACTCTGTATATCACAATAAATGTGATTGATTTTATCATAAACAAGTTCAGTTCGTAAATGATTCTAGAAGTACGCAGAGAGCAAGGTCCAGCAAGAGTCACTATTACAGAAAGTATCAAGAGAATAAGGTTGACCAATAGGACACCCTTGCAAGGCACAAGTGATGCCTGGGCAAGACAGGGGAACTCACAGGAGCCAAATCAAGAAAGTGAACAGCCGAAGAGCCTTTAAACAACAATAGCTTCAGAAGTGTAACTAGCGAGAAGTGGACAAGTAAAATCACAATTACAAAAGTAGGGAAAACTCTGTATATCACAATAAATGTGATTGACTTTATCATAAACAAATTCAGTTCGTAAATGATTTTAGAGAACTTTGGAATTGGCAAGCGAGAGCAATAAATAGACAATACTAATATTCAGTAACCTGATTGAAGTCGAGTTTTTATCGTATCGATTGGATATAAAGCTGCTTCGACAACAACACCAGCAGCACCTCCGGCTACAGCACCCTCTGCAAACCCACAACAAAAGATTTAGAAACAGAGGATGTTAAACGGCTTAAAATTCTGCTTTACCTAGTAGTTTACATTGAATTTGTCAAGAAGTAAAAAGTAAAAATATATGGTTCCAAATATGCTTGAGCTCATGCATGCATGCACATGTTCACAAGAAAGAGGCTGATTGAGTTTATCTGGGATATATTTAAATTTGAATGTGTAATCATACGATGGCATACTCTATGTAATTAGTAATCATAATAGTTGCATTGGTAAGAAACTAAGTTTAGGTGGGTCATTATTGCAGTGGCACTGTAGCAACTATTATAGCAGTCTCAGAAGCTCACACTCTTCTAAAAAGGAGCCATGTCCATGTCATCCACATGCAGATACTAACACTTTTCAGAAACTCTCAAACACATGTTCAATACACCTTTGACGTGTCCACTAGTTAAAAATAGAGAAGATTTAGTTTCAGATACATAAGTGATGTTTTCAGGACACTTACCAATAGGGATAATAAACCTTAGACATTAGATATAATTTTGTTTTAGCATGGAAGAAAATTATAATAGTTCAAAAATAATAAAAACATAAAATTGGAGGTTTATATAACATTATAAAACTTGCTGGTCCTTGAACTCCAAACCTCTCTAAACTGAAATCTCCCATTTCTTTTCCTATCATATAATATACAGAGGTCATAGATTATAGTTATCAACTATTCGACTCACTAGCATTGTTAAATGCACTTCAGATGATACGAAATCCAGTCACTTTTCCACCCAATTTATATTTCTTAGTAAAAAACATTAGACATAACATAATTAAAATAAGTTGACCTACAAGGAGTTAAAGATATTTTTATAAGATTCCTTTATATTTAGAGCTCCAACTTTATCCTCCATTACACATTTTTTGTTAAGTTTTTTATTGTTGTTCTTTTCTAGACCTTTGCCTGCAAATGTGTAACACACTAACACACATACAGTAGCCTCACCATTTATAATAAAGAATGAAATCTAGAAAAGGAAAAATAAAAAGCATTCCATTTAACATTTAATTACTAAAATAATGCTCTGGAATTAATTTTTTTTAAAAATAATAATAATGCTCTGAAATTGACAAACTATAACTCAATCAAAGTTTATACTTAATCCAATTCAACAAATTATCGTCAATTCCCTAAGCCAAGTTGTCGCAATGAAGATTAACTATATGTTTATTTGCTCAAACTGGATGAGAATTGTCTTCTGTGCAAATAAAACTCACACCCTTCATTTATAAGAGCACAATGTATTCCGTTGTTTGGATGTAATTTATATATTGCATCATAAAATTTTCGCATAGAATTTGATCCACAGAACAGGCCAAGTTCACCATCAAATCACTTGATTATTAGAGTCTAATGCCTGCTTCTATCTTGATTCTGTCTTCAACAATAATAATACAACTTACCAAATAAAACACGTAAAAAATCGAAAGGCTTTTCATCTCGGGCACTGGCCGATGCAAGAATCTTGTTTGGCTCGTCTTCAGAACTATACATTTTATACCTCAAAGACTCTGTAAAACACACCAATGTTCAAAACGAACAATAGCAAAATGAAATTTTTTGAGAAAATAAATAATGTTGCACCAGCATCAACAGAGATGATTAAATAAAAAATAAGTTTCTTATCAAGGGAAATAAATTAATAACAAAAGATGATATGCACTTAACTGAAAATTGCAATAATAGTATCAAAGGACGACATGCCAATCACAACTTTTAAAATGACTTAACTCTCAAGTAAGACTAATTATGTTTCTGTAATTTACAGGCAGATGCAGATCATCAATCAAGTAATACTCCCGTTAAAACTTCACAAAACTTCACTATTCCTTTCCAAATCAGATTCTATGATCACTCATCCTGATAGATGCAAATCATGTGTGCACTTCATAATTATGTAAAAGTATAAAGTCACAACATTTTCCAAGCTTTTAGTGAATAACATATCCAATATGTATCATTTACACTTTACCCCTTCAAGGATATCTGATATATTCAAAAGACATGGAGATGATTAGCGTGGCACATGAACACGGGTGATGCATACAATAGGAAAGGACGATTGGTCTGTGTAGAAAATAAGAGACAGAGGTCAGAATGAAGTGATAAGAAAATACCAATGGGCCAGTGGCCTAGCGGTATCAGCGGCGTGTGTGAGTACCAACTGGGAACAAAAAAAAAAAAAAAAAAAAAAAAAAAAAAAAAAAAGTGATAAGAAATGGTTTTTAAAAATTAAATCAAATAGGATTAGCAGCTTATGATTGAAAAAATAAAATTCATGTGACTGAGCATGTTCATACGGGATAAAGGCAAAGATGATGATATAAGATATGCATCTACAACAGCATATTGGACATGCACTAGCCTTCGAAAAAACATAGGAAACTTTTAGTTAATTTGTACCTATGCAACCCAAATTGTACTAATGTGGGTTCTCTACTTAAATAAAAAATAATAAAAATAAATAAAAATAAAAAGATCTCCAAAACTTTTCGTTAATCAAGTATAGAGATTTACTAAATAATTAGAGTTGCAATATTCCAATTAAAATTACTAATTAATAAAAAGCAATCATAAGCACACTCAATTCAATAAACAAACAAATTTCTATCAACATTAAGTTGTAAAATAACAGAAAATTACCAGGTGGAACTGTGCATTCATCAACAATGTTGTTTCAGCTGCAAAAAATTAGTTGAAGAAATTAGAAACTAAACTTGGATAACCCAAAAAGAAAAAAAACTCGTTAAATTCAATCAACTTCCTTACCATCGAATTATTGATACATCGAATACATTAGAATCTATAACCATGTGTGAATTGATCTGATGAAATAACATTGCGATTCTATACATTTTTAATTATTACATTCTGTAGTCAAATCTAGGATTTCTTAGCAACTTAAAACCCTAATTCACGACATTAAGACGGAGAATATATGTATATGTATAGACGGAGAAAGAGAGTACGGTACCTCTGGGTCCGGGCACAGCCTTGAAGTTGGTTTCTCGCTGTGTGCGTAGAAATCTCTACTTTGTGTTAGCTCACGAGAACGACAACTTTTAATAGGGTTTTAGAGTGTTTTAAGTAAAATTACCAGACCACCCTTCGTGTGTTAATGATGCCAAATTTGCCAATTGTCATGTTTCAAATCAGGGGCAAATTTGGAATGTTAATGATAGAATGGTTTTGTACTTTAAATTTCATCATTTAAAAAAAAAAAAAAATTAATGAGAATTTTATGTTGGTGATATTTTATTTTGGGGTGACAAATTACGACACGACTCGCCAATACTATTCGAACAAGATAAGCAGGTTTTTGTTAACTTTAAATAGGTTTGGATCATAAACGAGTTGACACGATTAACCCGTTTATTTAACCGTGTCGGATCAAGGTTGAAGGGTTCAACCCGTTTATGCTCGTTTAACTCAACATGTCATAATCGTGAATATGACTTAGGTATTATGTTACCTATTTAAATCCAATTACTATGGACAGTTAGGACATTTCAACATTAACTTTGACTGCGTCTTATGAATTTTCTTCATATTTTGAATATTTGGGTTAATTGTGACAAATTTTTTTTAGTATTTATTATTTGATTTAATATTAAATTTCTCGTTTTAATAAACAGGTCATTAAACGGTTAATGAACAGGTCGGGTTAGTGTTGAGGGTTCTTGACACGATTATTAAATGAGTCAGATTTAGATTTACCTATTTAGTATAATACCCTTATATCGACAAAATACGATTATAACCCACAAACAAAAATTGCCACCACTAATTTTATTGCTCAAAATTGGTAAAATTTCACTATTACGCTAAAAATTTTATAAGAAATTCAATGATTTTACATGGCAAGAAACCACAAAAAAAATAATGGTAAATAATAAATAATAATAAGTGTATCGTTTAATTCAGTCCCACATGATTTTCAATTCTATTTTGGTAGTTTAACAGAGTTGGTCACGAATACGGTTATTCGATACATCCGCTATGGTTATTTCATATTTCTTTTCTTTTCATAGGATTTTGATTACTGGCAGTGCTAACGTACCATGGATGATCCACATCTCAAGATTAGGCGATAATGAATACATTGATGTGATGGCCCTGGTTTTTTAATGCAGTGCGTCCTATGATGAACTGAAGATTGACCCGATAACGGATCCAAATGCAGAAGTAAGAAATAAAACAACGGTCTCCCAAGGCACAACACGCCTCTAAGACACTTTGATAACCTTCCATGAGGTCGTAGAACTCAATGAGAACTGACACGGAAGCAAAAGATCAGAAATATGACAAATAAGCCCCTAGGGGCAAAATAGTCATTTTGCAAAAAATATGGATTCGAGTGTTGTAATATCCCTAATTTTAAAATGATAGTCCTGATATTTTAATTAATTATTTAATTGCATTTTTAAGATTTCGATTATTTTATTTGTTTGTTACTTGAATTAATTGGAGTTTTAATTATATTTGTTTGTTAATTATTTGTTTTAAATTGAATAATTTGTTTTATTGTTAATTATTTGTTTTAAATTGAATTAAGTTAGGAGAATTAATTAATTAATTAGAGTTAGGGTTTCTTTCTGCTTGTAATTAAATCGTGTCTAGGATTTGAGCCGACACATATAGTTGGTTTAGGATTTAATTTAGGGTTTCCAATAAAGCCTATAAATACCTAAGTATACGTCTGCCAAGGGTTTGTTAACCCTATTCACGTAACAGAGAGAAAACACAGTGAGCAACAGAGAAAGAATTGGAAAGAAATAGATAGTGAACCTTGAGAGGCTCAAGGAGGAAGGGGTGGAGTGCTTCTGGGTTGAACCAAGAGCACTGGAGGTGTTTAACGGCAGCCTAGGACTTTGACGAAAACTCAGAGACGGAGGTTTAAGATTTATGGACTGAAATCTAAGGCAAGTCTTTGTTCTATTCTTTCCCTTTAATCTATGTTCTGTGCATGCCTAGCTAGACTCCATGGGTTTAACTAATGATAAAACGAAGTAATCATGCATGCTTAACGGACTAAAACTGAGAGTTTTATGGTTATATATACTTGTGCGTGATTTCATTATTTTCTTAGATCTTTATGTATGATTTGTGGTTTTACTTGAATCTTTGCCTACTAAAACACTTAAAATAATTTAGTATGAACGTATGGGACTTAGGTTGAAGCTTAGGGGCCTTAACAATGAAATTTTAGAATTTACAAAGGTTGAACGGATGAAGAAAAAGACCTCAGCACTAACTGAGGCGCCTAAGTTCGCAACTAAGGCACCTAAGTTAGCAATTCAGCCCCCTAAGTTAGCAACTTAGGCTGCTCAGTTGTAACTTAGCTTGCTCAGTTGGGGTTTTGGTTTTAAACGCCTAGTTTGGGTTTTTTGTGCACTGTTTGGACTATACAGAGTGTTAGCTTCTCGTTTAAATTGTTTTAAATATTTTATAGGATTGTTGTGGACCTGTAATAACAAAGAGAAACAATAGTTCATAAATGGAATAGGGATTGGACAGTGTGAAGCTCAGGATAAATCTATACGTTGCACACCGTTTTGCTAGCTAGTTATGTTCCGGAACTTTGCAAAGTTTTAATATATGATTTAATGATATATATAAATCATGTTTGACAGTGTTTTAAGTATGGTGATTTAATTAAACCCAACTATATTTTGGTTGGATATAATTGGTACTTAAATTGTTATTAAATGTATCAATTCATGGACTATGTTGGAGGATGTAAATGCTTAAATTTAATATAGCAGTTTACACTACTGGAATTGGATATTTTTGGCTCTATATTGAATGTCTGTTAGATGTATACGCATTAAATTTATTTTGTGCATATTCTGAAGTATAGTCGATGACTATTTAATTACTATATTATCAATTGCATTAACTGGAGGATTATATGTACCTGTATGGGACGGTGACATATTAGGTATGGACTAGTTCAAACACTAAGTTCTACTAACTTGGATTAAGGTATAGATTAATCATATAGGTTAAGTCCATCACCTACTTATGTCATATCAATTGAGAATTGAATGACCTACTATGGTTTCAGGATGGATTTGTTATACATATATCAGACCACTACACAGATAGATGGTATTTTGTATTAGGAGGAGTACGGACTTTATATATATATTATATGGTGCCGTGGTATGAGCTTGAGTCTCATGACCATGGTTAGGGCGCGTATATCACCTAAGATGGATAACTGGACATAGGAGTTGTTCCCTGGCAGGTCTAGGTACTCATGCCCACCTTAGGGTGCGTATTTGCATGTTACCTTCTATTCAGGCTGAGACAGACCTAATGGACTAGCGAGCGTCCTGTAGTGTGTACAATATACATATATGAACTACTCTAGATATTGTTGAGTCTTTCTAGGATGTATCTGCTTATCGGATTACTGTCTGGATTGTAGTAGATCATGACTTGCATGTGGGCCTGACCCACTTCTTTTATTTTTTTTCCAGGTGTTCGTTAGTTCCAGGGTTAGAGCTTGGACGTGCAGAGCAGATACAGACACTCATTCCTCCAACTACGTATGACTACTCTTTATGTTTAGCTTTATTTTTTATTTCAGTTGTTTCAATTTTAGTTTGGGATTTTATTAGGGATCCACTGGATGGATTCCGAAGTTGTATGGATTGGAGGTTTTGGGAAGCTTGGTTTTAATGATTAATTACTGAGGTTATTTTTATTTAGTATTCGTTCAGCGTTATTATTTATTTCTTTAATTCATAATTTTTTTGTATTCCGTGTTCGTTTTAAAATATTTTAATTGTTTGATATCCCTCGGGTTTGGGCCTAGGCCTGATCAACCTGCGTCTCGGATCTGAGGGGTATCACAGGTGTTACCGAGCATACTGCTGGAAAGACAATGAAAAATTAATCATGATGAACTCAAGAATCACATGATTCAGAATCCGGACGAAGAAGAAACGGCAAAGCAAAGAAAAATGGACATATAAAGCAAAAAGAGTAAACTGGTAATTATTCAAAAATATCCAGGCATAACCGAGCACACCGTTGAATAGACGACGAAAAATTAGTCAAATTCAAATAAAAGTTTACTTGATTTGGAGTCCGGAAGTGGGAGAAAGGTCAAAAACAAAAACAATGTCGCGGCAGCCCGAAGAGGGTCATGACAACTATAGTGCTGCCGACCCACTGCTACTGCAACTGAGAGTAAAAACGGGCATCTAAACGGATGTTTTTGGAAAAACTCAAAGAATAAACCTGCCCTAAAATCAAGTTTTCTACCCTACTACGCGGACGGAAATAATATATATATATATATATATATATATATATGCATCGTGAAATGTCCAGAATGCCCCCAAGAAAATCAGGTCAAGAGGGTAAAAATCCTTCCGAGCTGCTGCCAAAGGAAAGGAAATGGGGCTTTGGAAGGTTTTTAAATTGCCTAAATTGAAAATGCAATCTTAAAATACACCCACAAGATCCCTAGAAGTTTCGGATCAGTCGAAACATTTTTTTAAAAAAAGTCGATGAATAGTACCAAGTATTAAAATCTCAAGTTTTAAAACATATTTGTAAACTTTAGTATTAATGGCCCTTGGCCTCATGTCATACATACAAAATAAGCATCCAAAAAGTGTACTTAGGTATACATTACATATTTCTAGGCAAAAATAACATTTTATAACAAAAAGATGTTACATGCTAACACTTGCATGTTTTCCAAAATATATCAAAATACTTCAAGGTATCAAGGTAAATTAGGGATGTGATGCATCCCAAAACAAAGTTTTTTTACTTGCAAAATAACCCAAACAATTAGGGTGAGTAATCAAGTTACTCGTAGGATGTGGTGCATGCACATGCCCTATAATTTCAAGTATAATGTGAACCAAACATAGACCATCACAAGGGTGCATTCCACCTAACGTCATGTTTCCATGGTACTCTAAGGGATCATCTCAAGCTATACAAATGTTTGAAATGATAAACACATAGCATCCAAGTATACATAAACAAATACACTAACCGCCTTTAAACTAAGA